TTCAATATCAACGGCTTCAAAGCAGACAACACTTTCTTCAACAGCTCCAAGAACCCCTACTCAAGGGAAAGAATATCTTCTGATCGGTTCTGGAGCTACCCGCAGCGAAGCTATTACTCCTGCATTTTGTACAATCAAGGTCGCATCTTCCCACATATGCGTCTTGACACCGAAGCAATAGCTGGTCTGCCCTGTCTAGAAGAAGCTCTAGACTGCTTCAAAGAGGTTGGATTGTTGCCCTTCATCACCGACCAAGAGCACTGGAACGAAGAGTTGCTGCTCCAGTTCTATGCCACACTTCACATCCGTGGTTACAACAGAGATCCGAAGACTTGGGTCCTTGAGTGGATGACAGGAAATGTTCATCATGAAGCCAAAGCCTTTGATATCATTGAGCTCACTGGTCTGCCCACTCCTGGAGAACTCTATGAACCTGGATGTCAACATCATAGTGAAGCTATGGGGAGCATCTTTCAAAAGCCTGAACCAAACATGAGTCAGATGCTCAGTATGATGAAGCCTTTGCCACAAGACGCTGAATATCCTAAGGAGTTCCTTGTTGAAGACCTGGAGTATCTGCCAAGGACCATCTATCATATTTTAAGGCGAACTCTCTGGCCCATCAAAGGACATTCCCCATATGCAAAGCTGGAAGGTGCAATGAAGACTTTGGTCTTCTATATTATTCATGGCAAATGCTTCAATGCATAAGACTTCTTCATTCGTCAACTTGCTGCATCAGGCTCTGATCTGTTTGGCTTGAAGTTCTATGCTCCATGGATAATGCGGCTGATCAAACTCCACTCAGCTATCTCATATCAGCCCTCTGCTCGCAATCATCGGATCTTTATGCCTGATGTGGATATGTCCGTTGAAGGCATTTATCCTGAGCCTGCCAAGGAACCTATTAGTCTTCAGAATGCGAAGCATCAAAGTTTCTCACAAAACATTGAAGGAGTTGAAGCCTTCACTCGTGTTTATCCTCTGGCTGGAACTACACGTGCACCTCATCGTGCCCTTATTGAAGACACTGAAAGCACTATTGCCCAGCGGCCCAAGAAGCGATCTCGTGTTCTCAATGACCGAGAGCTTCTGGTGGCTCTTCATCAGAAACAGGATAGGCATCATGACTGGCTGAAGCGCCAAATGCACAGCCTCTTGGTGGATGTTAATCGCATTCGCAACCTTGCCACCAAGAATGCTTTTGTTGCCCATGAAACTTGTCAGCGTACATGGAAAGGGCTGACGCTTATGTGCTCTGAAGATGATCTTCAAGAGGATGGCTTCTCTGAACGCTTCAAGTTTGACTCCACACCTCCCCGAAGGGCAGTGCTGCAACGAACACCATCCCTTGAAGACTCTGAGTTCTCTTCCTCTGCGGCAACTATGAATGCCAGAGTGATTAAGGACGAAGACGATGCCACTTCACCGCCCCCTCCTTCAGCATGCTTCGACACTACTCCAAGTTCTTCTGCACCGCCAAACACCACCGATGACCCTGCTGCTTCACCTACTCTTCGTGGGAACGAGTAGATGCTCCATGTCTTCAAACCTTTTTGGTCCTCACTAACAAAATGGGGAGAAGCATATGCGTTTGATAGTCTTCAAGAGGGTCAATATGGGCGGTTAATTTATGTTTTGCCTAGTGTTTACAACTCTCATTTTGATACATTTGGTTCTTTGAGTTGTAACACTTAAACTCAATGGTCGTCTGCCACTTATTTGCTATTTTGCAATGCAATGATAAATTCCGCATGTGCGACGATAAATTCCGCACTTAGATCATTTGCAGACGTCCATTTTCCATTATGCATGCCATTATCTTCACATACCTTTACATGCATGATGGATTGTCATCATAAGCTGAAGAGGATCTCCACAAGTACAACCTGCCATGTGCATTTGCATTCCAAAAGCAAATTACTTATATGCACATCTTCAGGGGGAGCCCTTACAACTTATGAAGACAATTCCTTATCCTTTACAATCTCACATATTATATTCCCCGTTAAAAACTTCAACTAGTTTGTCATCAATCACCAAAAAGGGGGAGATTGTAAGTGCATCTAGTGCCACCCCTAGTTGGTTTTGGAGTATTGACGACAAACCTAGTTGAGGGACTAATATTTTTGCGAGAATTGCAGGATAACATAGGTAGAAGTCCCTCATTGATTCGGTTTTCCTACCAGAGATGACCCCTAAAAATGTATGAAGACATTGATGTCGAAGGTGGTATGTGAAGACATTCACATTGAAGACTATGACAAGAGAATACATCGCATGAAGACTATGGAGCGCGAAGATTTAGATCTTTCGTTGTTCTTTTTCTTCTTCGTTGAGTCATAGGAACCACCGTACTGTTAAGTGGGGTCCAAGAGAACCAGTCAGAATGACTGAAGTAATGCTTAACCAAAACCTATGTCTTCGAGTGAAGACTATGAGAGCGAATCTTGTCCAGAGTCGGACAAGTCAGCTTTGCTTGTAGCCCAAGTAAAGTTGCCGTGTGTGTTTGAAATCTAACCATTGGAACACGTGTCAGTTCCTTAGTGACCTAGGGCCATTTCGGACAAATCAGGTCGGGTTGCCTAGTGGCTATAAATAGCCAACCCCCTACAACCATAAACGGTTGGCTGCTCAGAGTTAAAGTACGGCTTTTGTCGTTTGAGAGCAACCCACCTCGAAGCCTTTGAGAGAGAATTCCTTGCAAGGATAAAGCCCTAAACACCCAGAGCCAAAGAGTATTAGGCATCACTTAAGTCTTCCTGTCTGTGTGATCTGAAGACTTATTACACTTGAGGACTGTGAATCCTCCAGCAGGTTAGTCGTCGCATTCTGAGCATCCAAGAGCCATTGTGGATCACCGGTGAACGAAGTCTGTGAAGGTTTGGGAGTCTACCTTGAAGACTTACCAGAGTGATTGAGCGAGGTCTGTGTGACCTTAGCTCAAGGGGAAGAAGGTGAGGACTGGGTGTCCTGAGATGCGTGTTCAGGACTGGGTGTCCGGGACTGTGTGTCCTCAGGTTTAAATACCTAGCCGCCCCAACCAGACGTACAGTTGTCACAGCAACTGGAACTGGTCCAACAAATCATTGTCTTCAACGAGTCACTGGTTTCATCCCTTCCTTCCCTTTACTTACTGTTGGTCCTTGTGAAGTCATTGTATGATTGCATTATATTCTGTCTTCACTGAGTGACTGCGTGTTCTGATTGGCTTCATAATATCTTCCTACCCGATCCTGACTACCTTGCTACTGTTAGTCATTGCGCTTTCACTTCACTGAATATTTGACTATGGTTTGCCTAGTGTAGTCTACCTTCCGCTGCATGATAATAGGCTTGCTTATATTGTTTGTTTTCGAAACTCCCATGTTTTGAAGACTCTCATAAAAATCGCCTATTCACCCCCCCTCTAGTCGATATAACGCACTTTCACTATGTGATCAGAGATCTTATGAAGTAGGACTTGAGAAAACAAACCTTTGCAGCCGGAGAGAACAATTAATAAATTCATTCCGCCGAAAATCCAGCTCTCTCGCTAATACTATTACGACATGTTGATTAATTTTTAAGTGTTTCGTTTACTATGAAAGCGAAGACGTCCTCCTACGGGGTAGTCTTTAAAAAACGCGCCGATATGATCTAGACTGTTAGTTATAGTCTGTGAGATCGGGTAATCTCTAGTAAGCCCATGAAATGCTAGGAGTATGACTTATATGCTCCACCCCACGGGGTAGCCCTGGCAGCCATGTACTTGTAAGGATATTCAGTGAAGCTTGTTCGCGCAAGACTAACAATTCAAGGCATAATTAATTGTTTAATTGCGGATAAGTGCAACTGCTTGTTTAGGTGAAGTTCATCCTTAAACGATCTCTACTGATCTACAGTTACATAATACAATACAATTGGAACAAACGCAATCCAATGTGCCTATGAGATCTGATGGGGGGTTGTTAGATTTATGGGACTCCGTCCACTAAATATTATACCTCGGCCAATCTCGAAGGTGCATCTCCTGAACTGAATGTTTAAAATTGATCCTAGTATTTTACTTACGAAAGCGTCTTTATGTTGTATAATATTATAAAGGGTTGGATATTGTATGCTCAGTGGCCTCTGCCCTAGCCCTGTATCTTCCCAAAACCTACTAGTATTAACGTTTTCTACGATGAAGTTGGTTCTATTGAAAAAGGCACCATTTGTTCGCATTAGCCTCTTCCAAAAAAGTGAATCATTCGGCTGCGACATTACTTGTGCAAGGGGCTTGGATTGTAAATACTTGTTATGCAATAACTGTATCCACACACCCTCCTCCTCTAGATAGCATGTATAGCCATTTATTGAATAGGCACTTGTTCTTTAACTCAAGGTTTTTAATGCCTAAACTCCCTTGGTCATTCAGCCTACAAATTATATCCCACTTGGCCAACCTGTGCTTGGCTTTAGTCTCATCGCTTTGCCAGAAAAACATTGACCGATAAAAATCCAACATTTTCTTACTCCCCATATGTACTTCAAAGAAGAGCAATAGGAACATCGGCATATTTGTAAGCATGAAATTTATCAGAATTAGCCGACCCTCATAAGACATAAGCTTGCTCTTCAAGCAACTTAGTTTCTTCTCAAATCGATCCTCTATGCACTTTCGTTCTTTGTTGGCCAGTTTTCGGTGATGAATTGGGATTTCTTGATAACTAAACGAAAGAGACCCCAACTCGCACCCAAACAATTGTATATAATGTTCCCTTTCCTCCTTGGTGTGCCCAAAACAGGACAGTTCACTCTTATTGAAATTGATTTTCAAGCCAGACAATTGTTTGCAAAGACACAAAACCAGTTTCATGTTTTTAGCATTTACCATATCATGTTCCATAAAAATAATTGTATCATCTACATGTTGTACTATGGATACCCCATCGTCTACAAGATGAGGGATGGGCCAACTCACCTGACCGTCCTCTTTGGCTCGACCAATGAGAGCCGCCAACATATCAACAACGATATTAAATAGGATAGAAAAACATCGGATCCTCTTGTCTCAATCCCTTTTGTGTCTGAAAGTAATGACATATGTCATCATTTACCTTGATCCTTACATTGCCTTTTTGTATAAATGATTCGACCTGCTTCCTCCAGACCGCATCAAAACCCTTCATACACAAAGCCTGTTGCAAAAATGATCATTTAACTTTATCGTAAGCCTTTTCGACGTCCATTTTGAAGATAACTCCATTTAATTTCTTTGAGTGAATTTCATGCAAGGTTTCATGAAAAACGAACACACTCTCCAGGATATGTCGTCCCGGCATGAAAGCCATCTAAGTCGGTTGCATCACAGTGTGCGCATTCTGTTTGATATGATGACATGGATCGTGTTAGATGTATTTTATGGTTTTATGCACCTACGACCATGTTCGTGAAGCCATGAAGACTTCATTGTATGCAAAAAAAATCTTTCTGGAAAAGAAGGCTAAACCCTGGCCTCTGCATCAATTGATGCATACAAGCATCTTTATTAACTATTTCACAAATATTTGACTAGAAAATACCTCAAGACTTTATTGTCTGCAAATGGTCAACCTCTGGTTCATATTCACTTATTCAGTAAGCTTCACTTATCATTTTTAGTTTCAACAATACGTAGAAGCAACTTTACACAGTTAATTTGGAACACAGAAATTCCTCCCGAATTACAGTCTCTGGCTTATCAGAACATATGGCGAATCGTGGCTAGAAGAGAGTGAAGCCATCGTCGTAGGAGACGTGGTGCCCACGGCGGCACGGCGGCACTTCCTCGTCCTGCTCCTGGCAGTAGCTCCACCTCCCCTTCCAGTTGGCACGGCCGGTGTTGGGGCGGTCGCCACGGTCGTTCCACCGGTAGACGATGACCCCGCTCTTGTCGCTCCACTCGCCGTCGATCCCTTGGTGCGGCGGCGACAGCGAAAACAGCCCCTTCTCACCTGCAACACAAACACGCATATGTCCACTCTCAAACGGGCCTCGGGAAGCTCCTCCGGCCTATAGTTTTGCATAGGCTGCTTCAGTCGTATGCATGGGCAAGGACGTTCGTGGTACACAGCACGCACAGAGTCGCAAGCCCAACCGCAAACTGAAGATATTTTGCAACTAGTGTACTGTAGTGTGATGCAGCAGTCAGTGGTGCTGATACGATACCTACCGGTGATGTGGCCATGGAAGGCGCAGGCAGCAGCGGAGTTCTCCTCGTCCAGGTACAGGATGCCGCACCTCAGGCATCGTTTCCTCTGCTCCTTCCTAGCCTTTGCTTCCTCCTCTGTCGTCGCTCCTGCTGCGGGAGCATCGCCTCCGGTGGTCGCGCAGATCCGCCCGCAGTGCCGCCACGGGGCAGCGGCAGCGGCAGCGTTGCGGCGCGAAGGACCGAGCGGTGGCAGGGACAGCTTGGGCGTCGAGAGGGTCGGGGTGGGAAAGGTACTCGCCATGGCCTCACGCCTGAGACTGAGAGGATGTGCAGTTTGTCACTTGCAACGTGAAAAGTATATTAGGACCAATGTTGGCGATATCGCTTATCGGGGACTTATCGATCGACCCATGATAAGGGGTAAATCGGCCAGTTTATCGGCATATCGGCCGATTTATCGCCATATCGGTTGATTTATCGGTCGATTTATCTTATCGGCTAGACAATGATAAGCGATACATCGGCTGATTTATCGGAATATTGGAAGATATCTTGAACAGTGATTAGGACGTGCCCTGGGGCCTGGGCTAATGGGCATTCTAGCGTGTAAGGGTACCTTCAACACCTACCCGTAAATTCTCTCTACATCCATCTACGGACTCATATGCGGGAGACGTCATTCAACCGCAGCCACATGCATTTTATTTTTGACTACAACTTGAACCAATCGAATGAAATTCAAAACAGATGGATTTCATATAAACACATCCAGATTTCATATAAACACGACGGATTTCATTACATTTACATCAAAGTAGTGCTAGTCCGGCTCTGATGGTATAATTAATACATACTCTAAATGGTCGCCGGTGCCCATCCCCCATGTCCGACCATGAGCCCCGAGAAGTGAAACTGAAGTGAAGCTGAAAGTGACGTTGTCCGCCTCAACATCGCCGCCAAGCGACTAATCGGCCGACGATGTTGAGTCCACCAAGATTGGAGTCGACGGGAGGGGAGGAGCGGTGGCCTTCCTGGGACACGAGTGGCGGCATCTTATCGTGCACTATTCTTCCTCGCTGTCGGCGGCGCTCGCGGACGTGCCGGCTTCGTGGTCGTCGTGGCGGGGCGCGGACTCGGTGATGTCCTCCTCCTCCTCGGTCTCGCCGAATCACCTTGTAGGTGGCTGCCACCTCCGCCACCCGCTGACGGTACCGCCAGCAGGCAAGGCGAATCTCGCGGCGGAGCAGTAGGACTCGAGCAACGCCTCCTACTCCGCCAGGTCCGCGTCCAGTGTGACAGTCCTGCCGGCGATGAGCTGCTGCTCCGCCTGCACGTGCTCCTGTAGGAGGTGGTTGTTGTAGGCGGTGTTGGCCTACACCTCCCGGAACTTCTCCTCCTGCTCCTCCTGCACCATGTCCATGTAATGGGCACGGGCCTCGCCGATGGTCATGGTGCAATGCACCGGCAAGGGTGGCGCGGAGGAGAAGGATGACGCCGGTTCGACGCCGCAGCGTCCTCCATTGGGACGTCGTCGTCCTCTGGCTGCCTGCCGGCCAGCCACCCGACAACAATGGCGGCCATCTCCTTCTTCTGGTCCGAGGTTAGCCCGTCCCAGAGAGTTTTGGCGGGGGAAGGATCCATGGTGGGAGTGGTGCGAAGAGGGATCAGAGGTGGATGACTGCGGCTATAGCGAGGGCAGCGGTTTATATAGCAATGATGGGCAACAGAGGAACGGACGGGTGGCGTCGGAGAAGACGCCTCGGCAACCGCGTTCCATCAATGTGGACGGCATACGGATGGAGGGCCGGCCGTCATGTCGTTTGAAAGTGCGGCAGTCGCCTGCACAGGGAAGCATCGTGGGTGGCGCTCTCTCGGCCGGCGCGCCACTTCAACGATGACGCCAGTGAGCGGCCATGTCCGCTCTGGCCGGGTATGAATGCGGGCGCTGACGCTCTGAAGCAGTGTTAACCGAAAACACGCGGAAGGGGGTGGGGTTTTTGGTTGGTCAGGACGGTCAGAAGAGTGCTTGAAAGCGGTCCGGATTCCCGCAAAGCCCCTCACATTTGTCTCTCAAAAATGACGAAGCACGTCGTATGCTTCCACGGAAGCACAAGCTATGCTTCTAAAAAAAGTGAAAAAGCACAAAATATGCATGGGTTTTGGTTTTTCTCGGTTGCTTTTTTATTTTTAAAAAACAAAGCTGTAACGGTTTTTGTTATTTTTGTATTTTTATTTTTCCATAGAAAAAAGTTTTTCAAAACCTATTAATATGTGATCTAATTTATAAAATATGACATGACGAATCAAAAGGTGTTTGTGATTTAGACAAACGGTTCGAGAGATTAAACATTTAAAAAATGAATTTTTGATAATAAAGGAAAAAAATTAGGTTGTGACAAGGGACTCACAAACATGTGTGCATTTGTCAGCATCAGGGAAGATGAAAAGTTGTACGTATTTGCAATGGGTAACCTTTAATTAGTGATCTCACTAGTTGATGTGCAATACCTATTACGCGTGTGCGTAGTATGTCGGAATTTCCGATTTGACGCACGTTGCCGTAACGTGTCGCTTAAAGGCACAACTTTTAGTTGTATGCAAAGCTTTCTCATTCCAGTTTAAGGAACCTTCTAAATTCTAATAGGTTTTATTCTAGTTTTACCGATTTTCGGAGCCTTCTAGAAGGTCCCTGAATCTGTTCTTTTTAATGTTTCTTCTTTTACTTTTTTCCATTTCATTTCCTTTTATTTTTTCATAAATTCATTATTTTCAAAAAGGTCAAATCTTCAAAAAAATGTTCAGGAATTTAAATTTTGTACGCACTTTTTGTAAAATTTTCAGAATTTCGAAAAATTGTTCACTTTTTAAAAAAATATTAAAATCGTCAAGATTTGTTCAAAATTTCAAAAAATATTTGGAATTTCAAAGTTGTTCAAAATTTTAACAAACTGATCACAAATTTCAATAATTATTCGCTTTTTCATAAATGGTCAGAATTTCAAAAATTGTATTCTTCAAAAAGAAAACAATGTTCAAGAAATGTTTGATCAACCTCTATTGTTAGTTCATAAAGACTCGCACTGCCCAATAATCATGAATGCCGGTCTACAATGAGATGTCGTGAGTTCGATGGAATGTGGGTGCACTGCCTTTTTAGGATTTCTACGCAATACTATTCACACTACAATGGATTCGCTTGGGTGACTGCTAATGGGTCGGCCCAGTTGGGATTTACTTTGCAGCCCACCGCTGTTTGACGCAGTGAACGTCCAATAGGTGCTCCCTTGTAGATAGCTCGATATATGGTTGGATGGTTAGAAGGACAGTGGTATCCTCACCTCATTAGGGTTCAAATCCTGGTGCTTGCATTTATTTTGAATTTATTTTAGGATTTCTGGGAATACATGTTTAGTGGGAGGAAACGCTCCCATTGACTACGAGACGCCTACGGTGACTTCGTAAAATCTCAAGATGACATGCCGGCTTAGTCTTTCGGAGGTGCCCATAGGGATAGGGTGTGCGTTTGTCCATACATAGGGGTAATTGTATGAGCGTATATATGAGTGCTAGCGTCTGTACCGTGTTAAAAAAAGAGTAGATAGATCAATAGCAACCTACCGCTCACACGCCGCCATGATTTTGCGCAAAGTTGGGCCGGCTCATATATAGAATCACCTTTCGATCCTTTCCTGACATGTTTTTTTCTGTATTTTAGTTATACTTCCCTTTTTATTTTCTATTTTCAAATTTTAATATATTTTCGGAATTCAAGAAAAAAATAAAATTCATGAAAACTTTTTGAATTAGTGAACATTTTTTCAATTTTGTGAACAACTTTTGATTTCTTGAGCATTTTTTCAATTTATGATTTTTTTCTAAAATACATCAAACAGTTTTTGGAATCATGAACATTCTTTGAAAGCATGTACGTTTTATAATTCACGACCATTTATTTCCAATAATGATCATTTTTGGATTTTGCGAATACTTTTTGACTTCACAAAGAAAATTGGAATTCACGAACATTTTCGGAAAATCATGAATATGTAGATTGGGATTCTTGAATATTTTTTAAATATATTTACATTTAAAGAATTCATGAATAATTATTTTATTCCACGAACATTTTTTGAATCCAGGGTTTTAAAATTCACAAACATTTTTAAAATAGTAAAAAAATTGAATCCACAAAACATTTTTTTTGAATTCGGGAACTATTTTTGGAATGAAGAAATTGTTCGCAATTCTTGGACATCTTTAAATTTTACACTTTTCCTAAAATTACTGAACTTTTTTTTGAAAATTTGATGATTTTCTTATGAGAAAATTGATGAACACAAATGCTGGGGGATATGCCAAGTACAACCCGCTATTTTTAATGGATCGGCCTAGATAGTCTTATCGCGTGTATATGACGGTGCAGGCGTGCTGATGGCACGACACGACGCGCAACGTGAATTGCCTGACCCATTTGTTTTTTTTTTTGCTGTTTTCTTTGTTGTGCTGCTCCTTTGGTTTTGAGGGTTTTATTTTGATGTTTATTGTTTTGTTTCTCCTGCTATTTTTTTCGCGTTTAGCTTCAAAGTTTTTGACGGTATTCTGTTGTGGTTTTTTTTTTCAGTTGTTCCTGTTCTTTTGTTTTGTAGCGCTGCTGGTACCTTTTTAGGTTTCGGTTGTACTTTTCATTCCGGCTTTTTGGTTTTCTGTTTCAATTTTTTATTTTTTTTTCCTTTTTTTACCTTATTTTTTTAGAAAAACACACGATGACCATTTTTAGACATTTTAAACATTATTTTATACATGACAAACATATTTTAATAAACAGTAAAAATTGTTAAACATGGCAAAAGTTAATCGAATACTCTCTCTGTCTCATAATATAAGAGCATTTTTGACACTACACTTTTTGAATCTCTATGAATATTTTTCTAAACATGGTAAACAAAATTTTAAAATATAATGAAGAATTTTAAATTGTATAATACATGGTGAATATTTATCTTAATACACAATGATGATTTGTTTTTTGTTTAAAGACGGATTATAATACCCAGGGAAAGAAAACAAAAAAATTTAACTGATTGGACAAACGATGGCAATAAAAAGGAAAAAAAATCACTAGCACATAACTGTACCAGCGCTCGAAAACAATAGCGAGGCTGGCTTTGGGAAGTCACAATGACCTAAACGGAGCCCGCGACCCATTATGGACGAATAGTGCATCACCCCTCATACACGATGCTAATAAGCGTCATATAGGTGGTGTCATAGCTGATAATGCGTGTTGGAGCCCCATCTCCC